ATAAACACTATCGTCATCATCGTCGTCGTCGTCATCACCATCATCATCGTCATCAACATGATGAAATTACATTTCAATTTTATGTTTTCAAAATTGAAACCGGCATTTATTTCATTTGTTCCTCATCCAGGCACCCAACCAATCCATATCATTTGCATAAATATTTTCGCAAAGTATCATCTTGTGATCTTATCGATTATATCGCAGTTTTAATATTGACAATGTCGGATTTTAGGTAGGGCGAACAGTGCTATTGCCCCGGCACCTCCACAAAAATTTATTGGTAGGAAGAAACTTAGAAGCAGAGGAATCGTCGGTAATGAAAACACGTAAAAGTGTAAACTTAACGATGTTGAAGTTTGTAAAACTAAGTATTCACTTAGTAAGTAACAAACAAGGAATCAAAAAAGTAGAGTAAAAGGACAGTATATATATGTATATATATATATATATATATATATATATGTATATATATATATATAATCAACATATATATATATATATATAATCAACATACATATGATACACTATATGTGTAATACTATATGTGTGTAATACTATATATAAGTGTGTGAATGAGTGTCTGCGTGCGTGATTGTGTGTGTGTGTGTGCGGTGTATCACGCTGCGATCAGTTTCAATACAAGTGGTGTTGCTATGGTGTTTGTTGACAATCACGAAAAAACCACGTGATGCTACACGTGACCACGAAATAGGAAAGCTCTATTTGTTGGCAGACAACTAGTTATTATTATATGTACATTATACATAAGTATATATTTTTAGTATTAACCTTTTGTGAGACTTGAGATAACTAAAATACTATAATAGTACTATTACGAAACAAGAGCTGGTCTGGTTGGATTGTTGCGAAAACTGTCAAAAACACAAATTATAAATAAGTTAAATAGAGATCATTGAGAAATGAGCGATTTTCCGGTATTGTTTACAAACAATTATGTAAAACATCGATATATAAACTGATGATATCAACATTGATATATAATTATTTTTGTTAATACTTTTTTGTTCAATTGTTTTTTTCAAAAAGAAATGATCATGGTTTTTTGAAAATCATTAATCATAATTTATTTGATAAATAAGTTACTACACTTTCCTCACTGGTGTTACTGTTGAAACTCTCAATGTTATTAACTAGTACACCTAGTAGAGTGAAGAAATCTTTAACAAAAGCTCTCTTATCATCAAAAACTTCAAATCATTTCACACTTATGCAACTTATCATGGCAACTTATGTGTCAATAGCCGGAAAATATCGTGTTGATAATCTCGGCTCTTAAATTCTTTGCATTTTAAAAATTTGATTAATCCTGATATCTGCATTATATTGATAAATTTCATTTTATTCTTTTTAACGATGCCACGTGTTATTTCAAGTAAAGACTTCTGTTATGTTTATTTTCCGTTGATTTAGGATGACTTGAGTTGCATTTGTACTAAGGTTGTTAAATTTTATTTCTACACCTAATCAGCTAACGAAATAGCTACATCTGAAAATACTTTTAATGTTGATCGTGACCGTGACTTAATACTTTATAATTACGCTATATTAAAACCGTTAAACAATAGAATTAAAATACGTAAAACGAGATTGTTAATGGCTCCATTGCTCTAGCATCTGCTATCATATGCAATGTGTATGATGCGTGGTTTGCACGCGTATTCTTAAACGCTGTGTGTGTTTGTCGTTGAAACCTCTGAAGCAAACGCAAAAGAGACAGTGGCGGATTTAGGTTTTGAAGCGCGGGGGGGCGGCGTAATATTTACAGGGGCGATTTTTTGAAATCATAACGGGTGACACATTTATTGGAATAAAAATGAATTAAGTTTTTTTATTGCTTTTTTTCTAAATAAAAACCTATATTAAGAAATAATTAATTAAAACAAAAGTCAGTTCAAATAAATGGTTTTCTTCTAGATTTCATTGTAGCAAAACGATTTATGGTTGAATCAAAATCAATATTTTCAGCAAGTTGTCGTTCAATTGCAATTAATGATAACCCAGATAATCTCTCATTGGTCATCGTTGATCTTAAATAATTGTTTATAATTTTTAATTTACTAAAACTTCTTTCGGCTGTAGAAGATGTTACTGGCAGTGTCAAGAATATTTTATACAAAATGGAAAGATTAGGAAGAGCTGGAGCCATTTGTTTACTAATAAGAAAAGGTAACATTTCATGGATTTTAAGATCTTCAGGTAGTGATGAACGTATAGATTCATAAACATTTTTCAAAGTTTCATATTCTAAAACAGCTTCATTGTGGTTAATATCATTATCATACATTGCACACAATGTTGAAAAAGTTGTGTTATCTGCCAAGAATTGGGATGGATCAAGACAATGGAAATTTGTAACTATCTCACAAAAATCATGAAAACGTTCTTCCAATTGCATTAAAAGTGTGTCTAAAGTTGCAAAGTATATTTCATTTTTGAACCGTTTGGCTGGATCATCTATCCTCTCATCTTTACTGAGTTCACCAGGCATTCGTTTTTTTGGATACCCGTCGTTCTTTAAAATCTGTTTCTATCTGTATATCAGAATCTGATGAAAACTCTTTCTTTATGTATGAACTGACAAAAAAGTTCAAACTGTTGAATGCTTCATCAGTCCTCATTTCAACAAATTTGTTTTTAGTAATATCAATCAAATTCTTTGCAATTGCTACATCAATGTTATTACTTTGCAAATAATTAGACAAAAAGTTAATGTTATTCAACACTTTTTGTAAACAAAACATCAGAAAAACAAAAGTCAACAAACTAAAAAGTCCAACAGCTTCTGCTCGGACACTTCCTGTATAACCTTTTTCTCCATAATTAATATCTTCTAGAGTTTCCAAAATAGCAGAAAATGATTCCACATTCTTTTTTTACAGATAAATAAAGGGGCGCCAATTTTAGCAAAAGACCGCGCGGGGGGGCGACTTGCCCCCCGGGCTTATGGTAGATCCGCTACTGAAAAGAGAGAGAGAAACCTTTAACCTTTTTTAACCTTTATATATACTAGAAATAAAAACAGAATCGACGTAACACATTTGCTACATTTGAACTCCTAACCTTATTTAAATTTTTAAATAATTTTTGAAAATCGTTCAAACTTCACGAGCTTGAACAATGCAATTTTTAATATACGCATCCTGATACCACATGGCAAAAGTCATAAACCTCAAAAAAATGTTATATCACTTTTTAAAGTATGCTATTATTTACTTATTTAACAAGGAGAAAAACGCGCATTACCTACGGTCAACGGACGAAGTTTGTTTAAGCAAAGTAAATTAAGCTTGCTTATTAAAATTGATGATTCCATTCCTGAAGAACTGGTCCCAATAAGAGGTTGGTCCGATTAACCAGCTTCTAGTGTATAATGAATGTGTGGCCTCAACGTCACTCTTGCTTATTAGTAAGCTCGGAACAATAGGGTAATTCCAGTGGTATTTTACACTGGCATTGATATTGCCCTTTCGTATTCTCCCATTACAAACTTTACTGAAAGTAAGAGCGGCGTTGACGTCACGCATAAACTGATGCAAAGAATCTATGTATGTATATGGTATCAATCAATCAATCAATCAATGATCCTCCTTTGTATATCAGGGGAGCGTCGAGGCCGATGTACATCTAAGCATGCTTTTTACATTTCGTTTTTTCTTTTTTTTTCCAAAAACCTTTTCTATCTTTGGCCAGTTTTATTGAATTCAGAATACCAACACCAGTCCATTCAGTAATGTCATTTCTTTGCAGGTCCTACCAACTTTCTTCTTCCAATCTCTTTTCATCATAAGTACCATCTTAACCAATCTGTCTTCCCTCTTTCTACAATTGTATCCAAAAAATTGCAATTTTCTTTTTCTGACTTTGTCATATACACTTTTCTGTCTTCCAAGTTGATTTCTGATGGTTTCGTTCTTTACTTTCTGCCTCCAAGTGATTCCCAAAAAATTTCGGTAACACTTCATCTCAAATGCTTCCAATCTGTCTTTGTCTTTTTTTTTATTGTCCATGTCTCATATGCATAGAGCAAGCTCGGGAAAACGCAAGATTCTATCATTCGCAACTTTGTTTTTCTAGATATATTTCCACTTTTCCATATTTCCTACAATAATGCGAACATTCCATGGGCTATTGCTATCCTTCTGTCAATTTCTTTTGCGCAGTTGTTGTCACAGGTTATAAGACTTCCAAGATACATATGCATATGGTATATGGTCTTAAAATATTGGCACCACTGCACTCTACGGGTAATGTATGACGTTAACTCAAGAGAGGTAACATTCTAAACCTTGAAGTAGCTCTTTGAAACTATTTTTCAATTTCACGCAGATATCATTTTTCTTTGTTCTTGTTGTTCTCTGCAAACAAGGTAGGTATTGAATAGTTAATTCTTAAAATATTTTATATGCTGTTTATAATTTATTAAATGCTTATAATAAATAAACCGTTATAATAAATGTTTACAACATAAAATATTTAAGTTATTAATCGTGTCTGTAACGTATTAAAAATATATTTGAAGAAATCCCTATTTTCGCTCAGCTTCTGTTTTTTAACCTAACTAACCTTCTGGTTTGTTTACTAACAAACAAAAGAGAAAAGACATCATTATCACTGATTTTTGAAAGTTTATTTAAAATATATTAATTAAATATAATAATGCTATTTTGTATCTGGAACTGTCATTTCAGACCTCACGGTGAGATGTGATCAGTACAGTTGGAGAAAGAACTACAATGGCAATGCAACACAAGTTGTTGTTGACGGTGCTCCTGACCAGCAGAGCCAACAAGTTCAAGCATCTACTAACAACCACACAAACGCAGAAATTAAATTTTTGCATCCGATGTACCACCAAATGCCTCATCCATCTCAACTATGAAGTCTCCCAACCATTATACAACAAGAACTGCTTCCAAAAAAAATGGAAGAGGTTTTACAGCCGATATGCTAGGGGGTTGACGTCATATAAAACTAACATGGAACCTCCATGGAGGGTCTGCTTCTTTGGGACAGATGAGTTTGCCCTGGAACATCTTAAAAAATTACATGAGAACCAGTTTAGTTTATCATTATAATGCCTTTGGTTATGTTATGTACATCTATCTATATTCTATATGATGAGTGATAATCATTATTTCATTTTGTTCTTAATTGGTAAACACAGTGTGTACATTATACTATTACAAACATAGATAGACACATCAACATGTTAAGCTTATAGGTACTAAAATAGCTCTATACATTAATTTTTTGGTGATTTAATTATTAAAATGTTTGTATTTGTAAAAAATTATTATTTAGTTAGGGTTCACTAATTTTTAATTTTTGAAATCCAATAATTTATTCAGTTTTCCATTAATATTTCTTTCAGAGTTGCTGGTGATGTTAAATTAGTTAAAAGTTTGGATGTAGTCATTCCAAAATCTGGGAAGGTAGCCATTTCAAAGCATCTTCTTTAGTTCTTTATTTATTAACAGTTTCATCATTACGTACGATTTACTTGCTTTTTTCATTTTTTGAACTAATGTTAAACATTTCTATCGCCAATATTATTTATTTAAATTTCAATTGACCAGTGTATAGTAGGTGATTATGCCGAAAGATGGAACATCAGGTGCATGCAGTGGCCCATCCCGTCGATGGTTGGAACGTACGACGTCGGTATTGTTGTGTCGTTTGGTCACCTGATACCCAGGAGCGTCATTGACTCATTTCCATTGTAGGCATTTTTCGTTTGTGAATGTTTGTTTTTTGTTTGTTTGTTTGTTTGCTTGCTTCTGTTTGTTTGTTTGCTTGCTTTTGTTTGTTTGTTTATTTGCTTTTGTTTGCTTGTTATTGTTTGTTTATTTTTGATTGTTAATGTTTGTTTGTTTGTTTGCGTTTTTGTGAATGTTAGTATGTTTAGTAAATTTGTTTGCTTTTTGCTTGTTCGCTTGCTTGCTCGTCTGTTTGTTTGTTGATGATTGATTGTAAACATTAAATATTACTAAACGTATGTATTTATTTTTTAGTATTTCTTTAATGAATGATTCGAGTGATTCGGGTGAAAATGAAATGTTAAATATATATATATATATTTTAGTTTGCATGATGATGTATTCATTAACTTTCCTTAAGACTAAGAAGATTATTTTGAAGGTACAATGATGATTATGTGAAGACATTGATGGTGACAAGTGTAGTAATATATGCCAATAAATTATAATGATGCAATAAAGATATGACCTACCTAGGATGATGTGATGATGAAAGTGATGCAAATGTGACAATGATAAATTTTTTTCAAAGATGAGTAATAAGTTAGTATGAAAATGTAACGACAAAAAAACGCTAATTTTGACAACAGTAATTTCATTGATGATAGGAATGAATAAAAATGATAATGATAACGTAATGATATTGACGATGATTGATGATGATGATGATGAAGGTGTCGATGATGAAATATGATGATGATGATGATGAAAATTTTCCAAAAAACAACTTCAGTGGAATTCTGAATATCCACCCATCCATCCTTCCCCGATGGCGAGGGGCATCTCCAATTATCCACACCATCCTCAATGGTGATCGGGAAACAGGTATCTCCGTGATGGAGATTCGACCGATACAGTTTGGCATTGTTTTTTTTTTATTGCAGTTAATTATAATTTTAAGTTATAATAATATTTTAGCATGAGTATCTCTTCTTCTTCTGCAGTTTTATGGCAGTTTTAGTTTATTTTGTAACTTTTTTTCTTTTTTTTTGTTTTACAACACCTTGCACATGTAATAGTTTTTCAAGATTTCATCCTTCATCATTCATTGGTTTATTGTTAACGACTGAATAATTTAACAAAAACTCAAAAACTAACATGACACCAACATTTTATTGGCCCACTGATGCAGCTTTGATGTCGGACCCCTACTTCTGCAGTCTCGCTTCGTCATTCCAGATGACTGCAGCACATTTCAATTGAGAGATTACCTATCAGTGGAGGGATCACACATGGTTTGTTAGGATTTCTGGAGACTTCTTATTGCTATGTTCATTTTTTTATTATCCCTTAATGAAAATCAGACTCCGATATAGTTTTTATACGACATACAAAACATGATGAAATTGATAAGTGTGATAAAAATACATACATCATGAATATAAAACAATGCGTGTACTTTTAGCTTAATAATTTACATTTATACGATATTTACAGTTACCAGAAAATAATTTTTGTGTTTTATTTTATTCACCTAGGCATAGTTTGTGTTTATTTATTTGTATTTCAAGTTAATATTATTATTATTTTCTTTTCTCTTAAGATGATGCATGCATTGCGAGATCTTCCAAGATTGGAGAAGATGGAGTATGAACAAAATGAATCTGGCGTCACTTACGGTTTGGTTTTTGTTTATTTCTTTCCTAATTCATTTATGGCTGTTGGTGCTGCACTGTTGTTTTTTATTTATAACTCCAGTTAAAAGTTAGTTGGTTAAATCATTATATTGTACGACTCTTCTGTTTGAATATGAACAACATGTTCATCACGCCACAGTCCTCAAACACACTCTCCACAACCTTCGTCATCATTACAATTATTACCATAATCATTATCTTAATCGTCTTCATCATCATAACCATCTTAATCATCATCATCATCATAATCTCCCAGCCCACAAACTGAGCCCGGTGAATGCACGAATAAATTGGGAGGAGCAAAGTTTGACTGACATCGACAGACAGTACAGAGCACTCAATGAAATTGTATGTCCATATTTATTATTTTTGGTTTTCCTGTCATCTTTATTATTAAATCAATTCACTCATAAACAACTGTAATATTCGTGAATTCAGCAATTCATATGTGAATTCAGCAATTCATATAACGAAGATGAAAGAGCTCGCTCTTGTTCATGTTAATGCATTTTACTTTCAAAGATTCTTCATTGAATTTACTTCTTATCTTCTCATTATTCTTAATCATTGTTACTGTTCGTTTCTCTGTTAATCTTTTTAAGCCTTCTAAGTTGATAATTTTTCCTCATAACTCACTCCCTACAATAGATTTTTCTAATTATAATATTGTCATCATCGTCGTTGTCATCTTCTTTATCATCATAATTTTCGATTTTATCATTATTATTGTTAGTTTTTCAATATATGTACATATTTTATTAAAGTTGGTGTCAAGGTGTAAGTTTTTTTAATATGACAAACGAATTTATGATGATAGTAATAATTCACGGTATTTTTTTAACGAATCTCTACCCAGTATCAATTAAGAAGTATGTGGAACAAGCAGAAAGTTAAACTACTGGATATGGTTCCTTGTGTTGAGATGAGGGGTTTGCAAAGATTTTTTTTGTCAAACTTTCAAAAGTTTATTTTTTCTTAACTTTCAAATGTTTAATTTGATGTTTGTTCTTTGTGGCATTTGTCTATTTAGATTTGTTATTTTGTTTTAAAGTCTATTTTAATATTTATGTTATTTTATGTTCAGTTAACATATTTTATGTTGAAAATTTACATAATTAAGAATAGATTGAACAATTTGGAATGCTCTAAATTCAATCAGTCAAAAAAGGATTAAAATAATGCAAAATACCTTGCCCATCTAATCATTCATCCATCCATTCGTTCATTCATTAATCCATCCATGCAGATCCATCCATATTGGATTCATTAGAGGAGACCTTCCCAGAGGATGAGATGACATTGAGGCCAGGCAGTGCACACTACCTCAAGTCACACGACATCCTCTGCATTCGTTGCAGGGTCAGTTGACAAGCTATAGCTATGATTAACTTTTGGCTTTTATAACTATTTTTATTTATTTTTATTTATCCTTTAATAATGGTATTATCCTTAATTTGATAATTGAAATGATTCTATACAGCCATTTATATTTCACATTTGACTTGCATCAAGCTTACTATTGTTTTTCTCTGTGATTGTATTACTTTGGCAGCAAATATTTGATGATCATTCAAACGTTTTATGGTTGCAGTTGCAAACTTGTTATTGAAATTAGTCATAAGTCATATTTAACTGCTATTGTCTATGATAAATTGACTAATATGTTTGACAGAGCAAAAATATAATTATAATTAAATTTACACGGGCAGAAATATTATATTTAATATTTTTATAATTATTTATATTTTTACAATTACATTTAATATTTTTACAATTATATTTTCATAATTATTGACGCCAGGATGCCTGGGTGGGATTCGGTGGCATCATATTAAAGAAGCCCCTCTCGGCCAAAAGCTTCTACAACGGTTACCTATCCAAGTACCACCTCAGGTCCATGACGTTTGACAGCATGGAGAACGCCTTGGATAAGTACACATTCAGGACGACCGTTTCAAAGAGTTCTCTAAAAACAAGGGCTTGGGTTTGATCAGTTTAGTGGTGAGGTATTTTATGCCAGATGAAATATCTTATAGTGAAAGTAACTGTTGACGCACAAAATATTTTTCTCGTTACTGTTTCTCAGTTGTCGATAACGTTGAATCAAATTTTTTAGTAAAGATGCTCTAGCAGCTTATGTTAGATGCTCTTATATGAACGGTTTGCTATTGTAAATTATTGTAAATATTTCGTTTATTATTTATGTATCTGAATTATTTCTCCGAATTGTTACTGCATATACATGTTCTTTAAAGAACATTTGTTGAATAAACACTAAAACCATTGATCAAATAAAAGATTGTGTCCAACCAAAAATTGACTATTGAATAAGTTATTAATTATAAAAAATAAGAAAAAGCTCATTAACACAAATTACATCCAATGTAAATGTAAATAGATAAATGTAAATTTAATTATAATTTAACTATACTCTTGCTCCGTCAAATAGGTCGGTAAATTTAATTTTTTTTATCTCAATTAAAACGGCATCATAATTTGGTGGTGATGATGAAGACACATTGACATAGAAATATTAAATTCTATGGGACGATTTTATGATTCAGCACTTGACATCAAAAATCTTCATCCTAGTTTGCATGGAAAGGTCAGTACAATAAATGCCACCATTTTTCCTGTTCGTGAATAAATTAGATAGAGAACCCGTCACCTATGCCTGGAATTTCTTTCAACCTAGGCATACTTTTGCACATGGGACATTTTTGGTTTCTTATCTTGGAACATCTTGCCCAGATGACCATGTTGGATCGATTTCCCCTCGTTATGGGATGGGCTCCGTGTATCAAGGAACCTCTGTGGACTATTGCAGAACCTTTCACGTGTGCTAGCGATATGTACCTCAATGCTGTTTCACCAACCTTCAATTCAAAATACACCTCGCCATTTTCAAAATTTGATAATGCAATGTCAATTTCCTCGTTATTTTTATTTTTTGTTGCTGCTGTTGTAACGTTTCCATCCAATGAGATGTTGAAAGTGATTTCAGAATTGTCATAATGAGGAGCTAGATCAACATCCTCTCCTACTTTATAATTTACAATGAATGCCTTTTGACTATCTAGGCTATAATACTTATGGTGCTTAACAGAATTAGTGACTTCATCCTTTGATTCTTGTTCATCAATGGAGTTTTTGTCAGGTATTTTCAAATAGTCAAAAAACAATCTGGATGAAACAGGATCAAGATAACTCTCTCGAAGTGGATTGATGAGATTTTCATAGAAGCCTACTTCATCCAACAGTATCTACATTTTTTACAAATTGGTGTAATTAACAAACGTAATTAATCAACTCAAGTTATAAGACACCAGATAAGATGCTTACCATCAGATTTTAAAAAAAACTAAAAACTCAGTGACTTAAAATCACTAAAAAACATTCAATTAAAAGCTTACCTGAAACTGCTAATTATAAACATAAAAAATAGGTTCTAATAAATTATTTAATTCAATTTTTGTAAGAAAACTCAGTTCTCAAAACATACCCCATAGTGATTCATAGAATTGGGTCTTCCCTTGGGCATGTCAGAAAGTTTAAAGTTCTCTAGTTCATTTAACAAATCAGTGCAGAATTCTTGAGTGAATACTGGAATCCTGTACATGTCTTTAGTTCCTAGGCAGCAAAAAACTTATCCTAAATTTCATGATTTAAATTGTTAACATTCTTATATTATGGAAAGTGTTATTTCTCTTGTAGCATCATGTATCTAACCTCTGATGACTTCCACAGACTTGAAAACATCTTCATTTGATGCAGTAGGATCCTTACATAAAGACACTAGCTTCAGGAATTTTTTATCCAAATATGATTCCTGTGAATATAAGTAAATTTTAGAGTTTCAAGTTTTTAGAATCAAACTCACTTAAAATTAATTTAAACCTTAAATGTGTAGACATGAATGAGTTTTGGGACGTATTTGTCAAGAATCATTTGTTTGCGTTCCTGAGATGAGCAAAACACTTTCAACCTTCTATTTTTCTCAGTATCTAACTTGGTCGTTAAAAAAAAAATTTGAAAACAGTGTAGTGAAATTTAACTAGTTCTTTATGATTATTTTAAGAAAATGCCATTAGCTATTTGTGATGTTGAGAACCACTGAAACTTGCATAGCAGTTTAGCAACCCTAGTAATTTTTAAATAGCACAAATTAAGTTAACAGTAGCATACAATAAAATAGCATTACCATACAAAACATCTCAAAAAATGTAATAAAAATGTGATGGAAAACAAATACAGCTAAGAAATATTCAATTAAAGAGCATACAATACAAACCTCATTTAAAATTTGTTTTATCTCTTCTTCTGTCAAGTTTAAGGAGAGTTTCTGAAAAGATTTATTAATTATTGTATTGCGTTGTTTGTTTGATACATATTTGAATAATAAAGCAAAATAAAAGAATCAGAGTATTTATTCATGGGTCATGGATGTGAAATGCCAAAATTATTAATAAAGAAAGTACTTAAAACAACAAGAGAATATATAAATATACAATACAATAAACAGTAAAATTGATAAAAAACGAACACGACTTCATTTTGTTTTATAACTTACAGAAAGTGTGACTTCTCTCAAATGAACTTCATCCAGATATGTAATGTGGTAACTCTGGCCTTTAATTTCGATGTAGTAATTATTTGTCAAATAGCACTGACAAACTAAATTGTTCCTCAAAGTAGACATCTTGACTTGGTGTTCATAATTCAAGCCTTTTTTAAATCTTGTCACTACCCAGCATCAGTTCAATCAATCTGTCTTCTATACAATTTTACTACGTATTTTAATTAAATTATACAGATCTAGTATTTACATTACATCACAACATTGTATCACACGTGAATAACCGTAGTGGGGTGGTTTTAAGCAGAAAAAACTAGTTCCTAAACATTAATTTGGAATGGTTTGACAAAATGATGTGATGTTTTATTCTTTGAAGTTAAATTTATAACAATTGTTCAAATCAAATTGATGGTTGAATATCGTTAGCAGATATTGGAATTCAAGTAAAATTTTTTAAAAAAGAACGCGCCCACATAATGAAAATAAAACTTTAAAACGTGATTTAACATTTCCAAGCAGGAGAAATTGTCTTAGTAATGTGGAATGCTGTGTAATTTTTAAAAATTAAATCTTGTCCCAGCCGAATATTTAATTTTTAAATAAAAAAATATTGTTGTGATCGTAATGTTCTCGCAATGTCATAACAGTTGTCTCCATCTACCTGACTAGTGTCTTGCTCTCCTGTCTTTCTGTGTTCGTTTTGCTTTCGCTACTAAAAAAAAAGAAAAAAGGTAATTCTTTGTAACTGTTAAACGTAAGTAGTGTTGTTGGCTCATTCGTTCATTAACCAAGTCAATCAAAGAATTCGTCACAACATGGAGACAAGGTTGGACCAGTACCAAGCTTTGACAGTCGTTGAATTCCACATGATGGACAAGCGAAAATATTTTTCGTTGGGGGCCGTCAGTGGAATAGCAATTCGAGCTTTAGTGTATCCTTTCAGTTTGATCAAAACACGTCTTCAAGTTCAAAGGCATCATTCCTCGTATAACAGTCTTTTTGACGCATTTCGTAAAATAGTAAAGATGGAAGGTTTCAAAGGTTTGTACAGAGGCTTCTTAATTAGCAACTTCACCATCGTTTCGCAAATTTCGTACATCGGGGCCTATGAAGCTGCTCGTAACTATCTTGTCAATAACACAGTTTACTTCCAGGACCAAAAAATCCGATCGTTTATAGCAGGAGGGTTTGCATCTCTAGTCGGTCAGACTGCAGTTTTGCCCATTGATATCGTAACGCAGCATTTGCAGGTCATCAACCTCAGACGAATACCTTCTTCCGAAATTCCTCTCTTACCGAAATCAAAAATTGACCAGACTCGAGCAATCGTAAAGTATTTGTACAAGCAAAATGGTGTGAGGGCTTTCTACAAAGGATATTTTACATCCTTGGCTACTTATGCTCCTAGCAGTGCACTGTGGTGGTTCTTCTATGATATTTATTGCAGTTAGTTGTATCAATCTTTATTTTATTTTATAAGTTTTTGGTTTGGAAGTTTATTATTTACTCATTACTGGCATTGTTATCAGTTATTTTGTCTTTCATTTTATTTAGTACAGTACAATCTTTAAAAGTATTGGAAAAATAAAGTAATTCACTCAATGTAACAGCTGAACTGGACCTACAGTTTCCCACATGGGTACCCAGGTTGACTTTGCAGTGCTTGGCTGCTCCACTAGGGGGTGCCACAACAACCATCATCATGACCCCAATGGATGCCATCCGAGCCAGGATTCAGGTTGGTCTTATTTCTTTCTTTCATGGTAGTAATTATTTTTATCACAGAGTTAAAATATCATGCAATTGATTTTGACATGTGTTTTGCATTATAAATTATAACCATGTCAAGACGTTAATCATTGATGTTGAAATACATGTTAGCACATAACAGAACTAATTATATATGTTTTACAGAACTGGTTATAAAATTTTAATTAGGTTGAAAACAAGAAATTTATTGAAACAACAAAAAACTTGTGGGCCGAAGAAAGGTTTGGAATTCTAACAAAAGGCCTGTCAGCTCGCATGGTCCAATCCATTCTGTTCTCATTTCTAACCATTCTCAGTTATGAATCCATAAAAAGGTGGAGCCTGCTGGAAGAGTACAAGGCATTAGTCAGGTGGTGAACTTCCTTCAGATCATTTGGTCCTCCTGTGAACACTGCTATCTTGTTTATAGGAAATGTGAACAATAATAACTTATTGCCTGTAGATCAAAGTTATTTTGTACAGTGTTACCAATGTTTGTTTTTTTTTAATGTTTTAGGTTGATTTATTTAGGCTTATTGAAGTTAGTCTTTATGTGAAATAAGTAAATGTGCAGTGCATCAAATGAGGCAAATTGAAAGTTTGTGGTTTGATAGCATCAGAAAAAAAGAAGAAGAAAAGGAGATTTGGTTTAGGCATACAAAATCATAACTATGAATAAGAATTTTGAATCGGTAAAATTTTTTCTGCTAAAGTTTAACAGAAAAACAAGGGGGCTTAAATAAAAGTTATTCAAAAAAGGCTCAGGAACGATAAAGGAAAAATTTCCAGCTAGCTGTAGAGTTGTCAATGAGTGGAACAAACTGGGAGATGATATAATATGTGCAGACACAACAAATAATTTCAAAGCACACTTGGCTAGAGTAGGATATTAAGATCTCTGAATGGTCCTGTCACAGACTCAGTCTTCTTGGATCGCTAAAAATCTTTTTTATGTTATGTTGTGTAAATGTTATTTATTAAACCTGAAAAATGTACATATTCACGTACTCATTGAACTGTCTACATTTATCTGCCAGCATCATTATCTTTCCATAACTTAATTAAGTAGCTCAATGTATCATCCAGCCAACTTTATCCACCACCGTACATCAACTGATGGAAATATTTGTGGTAGTTTGAGGTACAGAAACAGTCCTTGTGAAGTTTCTGTGCAGAAATTAAAAGCTGGCATCGTCGTTTCGTTTCTATTTGTTGACTTTTGAATTTAGCTTTTTGGTTACTTTTTGTAGAATTTATGAATCTTTTCAACAAAAAGTTCGCTATCACTTGTTGTTCAGACCTTGAAATAGATCTGATGATGATGATGACGGTAGTGATGTTAACAAATCGTTTGCAAATCATTGCATAGTAATTAACGTCGCCATTAGGATTATATAGATTTGTATAGAACTGTATGCATTTTTAAATGTATCATTCGTCTCCTTTTTTATATTTTGCGTCCGTTTTTTATTAACTATTTATTGTTTTTGATGTGTTTATGATTTTTTTATTTATAACAATATTGTCATTATTATTATTATTATTATAATTATTATTGTACTCTGCTCACCAATCATTTTATATGTAATCAATCAGTTCATTATCCCTGGAAAACCTAGAAGTAAGCTAAACTTTTTTCCAGTTATTCATCATTTGTATCAATATTATCATAACTCACCATAATTCGTCATCTTACGTATTCGTGCACTCACTTTGTATGCACTGCACATTAAGTAGGTACATAATAATACTTTGAATAAACGAACGAATGACTGAATGACAAACCTTAATATTAATATGGTTTAAATCGTCGTGATAGGAAATTCTTTTTGTATAATTTTATTTAATTAGATTTTTGTTGTAATTGTTTCTTCTCTTTCTTTTTTTATTAAAAACCGATAATTACAACAATCATTCGGGCCGTATTATTCAAATGATTTACGATCTTCCTTTCGAAAATTACCGAAATGATTGTGAAATAAAAACAGTCGTTTTATAATCTTACTTCCTTCGCCCTGTCGTTTCAATCTTCATCTAACTTGTAATTTGATGATCAGGCTGTAATAAAAGAAAAGAAAACATTGGGATTATTGCGTCATTATGAATGACGCAATTGATGCTTGTGTTGATGGTATTTAACTACTGTCATAGTTTTTAGTACTGTAATTCCAACTACCTATCTATTTGTATACGTGCATTTAAATCATTTGTTTGTATGAAAATTTTTTGGTTTTATTTTGAAAAAATTGTGATTTTAATTTGATTAAACAAACGATTTTTATTAAAAAAAATAATAATTTAATAAAACAATGACAACAACCTAATTTAGGAACATGATATTTGTAGAAAGTAGAAGTTATTACTAAACGATAAAGATATAAAATATATTAGGTGGGGTGCACATTGATGGTTTAGTAAATAAAATATGGCACGAAGGAATTTAGAAAAAGAAACCGAATTAGTGGAGAGAGTTAGTGTTGCTGAAATCTCTTGTAAGCATACGTTAAAAGTATTTGTAGAAAAAAACTTAAAAGATGTTTCATTAGATAACCGAGCGTCAAAAATGAAATAATTTGAAGTTTATAAGACCTCATTATCGTCAAGTGAAATGAAGAAATTATGCAAACATATTAAATGAAGGTTCTTCAGCAGCAAGCCGGGAGATCAAGAAATTCAAATTCATTTAGAAAGTAAATAAGGAATACTATTAGGTACTAAAAACGTTTGTCAAATTTCTTGAAAATGAACGTAGGATGTAACAGAAAATAAAAGTCTGACGTGCAACCATGCATATATCGGATTGGCAAGCAAAAATTTATATATTAACTTCCGTATAGGAAATTAATTTTGAAATCACTTTTAAAAACACAAACTGATCAATGATTCGTAACTTTCAAGCTGTGGAGTTAAGATGAAGCATAAATCAACATTCGCAGAAGTAAATAATATTGGAATCTGTTTGAGTGGTAACAGGCAATAAACAATTATAATAAATATACTGTGATTTTTCGCTGAGTGTTATTAACTATGATTAACAACAGTTTATGAAATAAATTAATGTCAACATATTAATAAAAAATATAAATACGTTGATTTCAGTTGAAAGAAAACATTTTCAAATTATGTTTCAGCAAAACTTTTTCCAATTAATTTTGATCTATCACTTTTTGGAGCGTTAAATAATAAATAAAAAAAAGTTTAACAATAATTATTAATACAAACAGGAAAGAATGTGCCACATCAGATAGAGATAGCAGGAACAACGCGCAAAATTGTCATCTTCTGCATATTGTTTAGTAAAAATGATTTAACTCAATCTGAAGTCAGCTGTTATTGAGGGCAATGTTACTTGTGCCTGGACTGATAAAGCTGATGGTGATGATATAGATGATGATGGTGAAGAAGATGATGAAGTGGATGATGATGATGAGTGAGAAGCAGGAGGTGGCGGTGTATGACTGGCATTTGATTGGCTGGGAAGAACCAATGGGGTGAGAGGTGTTGATGGAGATGGTTGCTGACCAGATGGTGATGGTGTTTCTGATACAGATGATGATGATGATGATAAGGCTGGCGCAGCAGAGATGGGAAGAGCATTGTGAACTTTTGCATCACCACTGCCATCTTCAATCATCCTGCCTTCTTGCAGTCTCAGATCCTTGATTTTTTTCTCCAATTTATCAATTTCATCCTTTTATGAATTTGATAATTAAATTATAATTAAGTATGTAAAACCAACAAAACGGACAAATAAATTACCGAAAAAAATTTGATCGTCAAGTAAAAAATATAAACATTTCAGACAACTATACAGGTTTTGCCTTGAGACATTATTCTTAAAGATCAGTTAAAAATGAGAATGTACTTGTGTCTTACGATCCAAAGAACTATAGAAATATATACATCTCTTAATTTCACGTAACAAATTTGAAAAATTAAAGAAATTCAACACACCTGCAGCCCTTTCAACTGTGCATTATGAGCGCTGGAAATTGAAATGGCTCTGGATGGCTCAATGTTGAAGAGCAACGATCTGAACCTGTAGCCAGAACAAACGAACACTATGAGCGCAATCATGAACACTATGAAGACAAGAATGAATGGTTGTAGGAAGAAAGGAACACCATTGAGGGCAGAGAGGAACAACTTTTTGATGGCTTCACCCAAGTATTCGAAAGGTTCCAGGAAAAACTTTGCAAACGTGACTGCCAATGCCTGGTTCGTGGAAAAATTTCATTAAAAGTGTTGTGATGTTTTGCTAAAATATCCAGTTGGAATGGAGTTAACTGAATTTTTAACTAAAAATATTATAAAATATTATAATTGAAAGTATGATAGTAAATCGTCCAGCAGTAAAAGAGAAAACAGCGTCATTAAAAAGTACATAACCACTTAGAGCAGCATTAATTAAACATGTTTGAAACTTGACGAATTAAATTATCATCAGGATAAAAATAAGCACAAAAATTATTTTATATCCTTTAAAAAACATTAAACCAATCAACCCAAAAAGAATAAACAAATAAAAAATAATGCAAGAAATAAAAATAGAACAAATATAAACAGCTTACAAACAAATGCTATTATATCAATAAAAAGACAACAAATAAGCAACCAACAAACTGACCAACCAACTAGCCTATCAACAGACTTATTAACTGACCAATAAAGCAACTAACCAGTCGACTAACGAATCAACCGACCGACCGACCAACCATTGTAGGCGTCACCTCCCACAGTGCATCGACCTGCAAGGCTTCATAATACTTGAGGCATTCGTTCTCGGTGAAGTGGAAGTAAGAATAGAGTGTATCGAAGAAGGACATTTTCTGAGGACTGCATGAATCTGGAGGACTCTTCGATAAGGCGGCCATCTTCGAGGCCAGAGCTTTCTGCACGCACGAAAGTATAAAACAAAAGAATTTTTTGACTCTGAATTGAGGAAAATGTTTGTTTTCTACATCAAACTTTTAAAAGTTCCTTTGTTGTATATATAAAATATTTGTGATATAATTTAATCCAATTGGTCATTATCTTAAATTATTTAAGAGTAATTTCAAATAAATGTAGCGCTACTCTGCTTATAAAATTTGAATAATTTGTTTCAAATCATTATTAACAACAACACTTTGTTAGTAACCCAATTTCATACAGTAATCAGAAAGCAATATGATTTGTATTTAATATGGAACACCTTACGAGAATACTAACTCACATGAATACAAACTAAAACCACATCACCCAAATACCAATTCATACAAATACCCTCTCCTTCCTCCTGTACAAATACCACACCATACAAATGCCATCCCAACAAATACCCCCCACACAAATACCTCCATACATAAACACAATCAAACACTGATATTACCTTATACAAATACCACCAGGTCCATGGTACACTGATAAGAAACAGCAGTGCAGTAGTGATGAAGATCAATCTGTAGAAAGACAGCCTCAACTTGCTCAGTATGTAGATGATGTTTGAGAGCATTGCTGCTGATGCTGAGATCTGATGGCGTGGCATCACTTCGATATTTTATAGTTATTCTTGCTGAATTTATTCATTATTTAAAAAAAAATAATGTATAGATATTTAATTGACATTGCCAGTTAATGAAGAGAGACAAACAATAGCAAAATAAAAAACTGTATATTATGACACCAGCTTGAAACTAACCATGAATACCACTTTGATGTTCTCTTGAAGATAATCACACCAGACACCCACCAACCCTGGCAGAGTAACTCTTGGAACCCATCTTTAAATTATTTTGGACATAAAAAATTAAAAATCATGCATTCATTTTATGCTAGAACTGAGAAGATCAGTAAGAAATAATGAATGCACTGCAACCAATTAAGTGAAACTGTTTCTATTTTTGCAGACATGCAAACTTCATCAAATTGAGCATTTTTAAGAGATGCACATCACAATAAAATAAAAAATTCAATTTGAAACGTTTAAAAAGTATATTATAGAGAGCTAGCCTGTTGTTTGACGTCATGTTGTTTAAGATGTAATGAACTTCCTGCAGAGTCACAATTGAATGCCTCTCCTCCAGGCTCTCTTTCAAGTAGGAACATTGCAAGTCGGTCAACGTCAGGTCGATCTGATGATAACCATCATCTGCCTGGCAGGTTGCATTTTTGATAAATATTTTCAAAATTTTAAAAACTATTTCAATGAATTATCTCAAGTCATTTAATAAATTAAAAAATATTAAAATATAACAATCAAAAATATCTTGAAAGTAAAACAGAACATTGAACTAAGCTATCATCTGAACTTATTTGATAACTCAATCAGAATAAACAATAAACATAGACAAATAAAATTAAACTTAAACTTTACATGATTTTTGCAACTTATCAACGATTTCAAATCCAAAAAAACTTACGTTAATAGATTGAGAGCAGAAATTGTTGGAGACAGTTCGAATGAAACGCTTGAAAAAGACGTTAACAGTTGTCAGGTCTTTATTTGCATCGCAATGTTCAGTGGCACTTCTAGATTTTTTATTGCAGATGGCTAACTCTTTTCTAATGTCCATACAGTCCATTTTGTTGTACTTGGCTGGGTTCACCCCTTTATTCTATATATAAATACATTACATTAATCATCATTTTTCAAGTTATACTGAGTAGAAAGTTATATGCATGAATCAATTTTTCCAAATGCTATTATATTTTCAATGCTGGAATCTTTGTTATATAAATTGAACTAATTATAAATAAATATCTGAATATACACTGTACTGTATATATTAAATTATGATACAATTAATTAAATACTTTATAAAACATATTTAAATCATTTTTTCTATACAAAATATTTTATTAAATTAATTACAAAAAGTTTAGCATACAATTTTACTCTTAATATCTTTAATTTTAAATATATTCTGTTACACATCATTATTCTGAATGAATTATCATTATAATCTTAATGTTTTAGAATTATCATATATTGATTATATCTTTTTTTCATCTTTATGATAGTGGCATTATGTTTATTTTATGGTTATGAGACTATAATATACATTATATTATGCTGATGCAACCTTTTTAACCTTCTTAATTATAAAAAAATTATTTTAAAATTTAAAATAACTCTTCTTAGTAATGGGTTAGTATATATATTATATATATATATATATATAATTATATGTATATATATATATTATTTTAATTAAACGATGTGACGAAAATTACAATTAATTACTACACAAAACGTCAAATTATGAAATTATTATCATATTTAAAAAAAATTGTAGAAAAAAAGAACCGACCCCATCTTGCTTGGTATCAGTGTCATAACTCATCATGTCGTGAGGGTCAACCCAGTTTTCGTAACAATCAATAACCGGATAATGTAGAAAGAACAAAATTATTAAATATTTGTAAGCAGAAGAAGCCATTTTTTGCATTCGAGAAATATACAGTGAGATCTTATTATTTACGCTCACAACCGACCACAGATATAGAAACGTTTCTATTTTTATGCTCACAACGCTAAAAATAGGTTCTGCAATGCTGCTGGAAAATAATAAAACTTTCGGTTTCTATTTTCCCTGGAAGGTTGAATTTCCGTGTTTCTGAGAATCTAAATAATCATTAATTGTTTAATCGATGTTTAAGGTTCTGACCTTGGACCATCAACATTACCATCAATGCTTCTATTCTCAAAACTCTTCATAGCTCTCAAATACGCTGACGACACCCACCTTATCAGCCCATCATCTAACACAAGCACCATCCAATCAGAACTTGACTCAATAACTACATGGCCAAAACGATGCAATCTGTCACTTAACCTCAATAAATCGTTCGAACTCATCATTCACATTAGTCGTAAGAAAATAGCATCCAGCAATCACACATATTAATCACATTATCACAAAAAATTTTCAAACATTTTACGCACTCAAAACACTTCGCTCACATGGTGTCAGAGGCATCAAATTATTCGACATCACTGAATCACTCATCATCTCACAATTCAAATATGCAGCTACCTCCTGGTCTTGGTTCGCTAAACAACAACAACTTTAGCAACTAAGCAAACACAGCCATTCATCAAAAAACTAATTCGCTTCAACTATCTATCTATCTGCATCATATAATTAGAATAAATATAACGGCCTTCGCTCATTTTTGACGGTCAAGCAAGGAGCTTACTTCCGGAGGGGAATTGGAGGGTGATTTTTTATCGCCCAAGTCTAAAATTACGATCGTTTATTTACTAATTTCGGAATATTGCTTTTATTTAAAATGTTTTGAAAGGTGATACTAGATGCTGTTTCAGGATAGATATTGCTGTATGACGGTTTTGCATTTTAAATTAAAAAAATTTTTTGTGAACCACTCTTATAACACTTGACTCGTTAACGATTAACTGTAACCGGTAAGGGTAACGTAACAACATTAACGACGACTAATTAGTAATTAAATTACTAAACTCTAATAATTAAGCTAAAACTAAACTACTAATTCTAATTACTAATTAAAATAAGTAACAGATAACACTAACGAATATTAACAGATTAGACTACTAGAGACTACCAACCACTACACAACAACATACTACAACTACTACACTAACAGCACTTGTTCCTAAAATCCTAAACCCTATTGCTTGATTGGTTGTAAAATTTTTACTTACAATGCTTAGGCCTGGGAATAAAGAATATATTTTTTAAAATAACTAATATTCAATGATTTTTGCTAGTTATTCAATTATGTGGATAATTTCATATAATTAGAATAATTTGTCGAAATATACGAAATATTTACTTGACTTAATATGCTTAAAACATTGTAGTAATTCTCTTTAATTTTATTAAATAAAATTATGATTTTATTAAATAAAATTATGTATTATTAAATTATTGTTGTTAATTTGAATATAAAAATTATACTTTTGGTCCTGTGAAATCCGGTGGTTTTTTACTGAAGCCGAAGGTTGGCTTAGTAGGATTGAACTAAATCGCCCTTTTTTACACTATTCGATCATGTTAAAAATTTGTTTGCTCATGAAATAAATGACCTAAATAGATCAAAATTGTTATTTGAACAACTGTCTTCATTATATTCAATGAATATTTTACATTCTGCTGGTGCTCATAGAAATTATGGTTGCTGAAATCATACGTTGGCTTACTGCAGTGGCTTACTGGGTCTCATACAACAGTGTCATGGCGGTTTTCTTTACATATAATGCTTTAAATAAGTCAATATATTCATTTCACAATTATTTTTGTCAATATAAATAAAGAAATTGCTTTTGTCAGGTAAAATACAGTGGCCAAGTAAAGCCGTATGTTGGCTTAATCGGATTTTTTTTCATATATAAAATACTATGAGATCAATCAATCAGTCAACCAATCAACCAACCAACCAACCATTCATTCAATCAACTAATCAACCAACCAATCAATGAACCATATTTGAAAAATATTTGCAAGGCTTGTTCAAACTCGAACAAACACTCAACTGTACAGATCTACAAACAATTTCGAGATTTTAGCAAAGAAAGAAAAACACAATAGTTGCTTTTATTAAATCAAGAAATATCCAAAAATTATATAACCAAATTAAAAAAACTAGAAACCAGTCAACATTTAATAAATAATTAAATAAATAAATAAACATTATTAAAAAGATTGTTCAAAAAGGTAAAATTTAAGGCGACGACGAGAATAAAATGTAATTTATTTTGTTGGTGTGGGGCTGTGAAGCGAAAACAAACACATCACAAAAAACTAGTAAAAAGTCGCAAGAATAGTAGTCAGTCACCTACCTACAATTAAATTACTCTCAGGGCCCTAGCTTACTTATAATCATTAACTCAACTCACCTACCTACAAATATGTTTTTGGAATTTTACATGTTTTAGGTATTTTATTTTACATATTTCAGCGTTTTATTTTACTTGAAACTTTTTAACTAATGTTAAGCCCTAGCCTACCTACGATTGTTCAACTCATCTCAATCCCTAACTTACCTACGAATTAAATTAAGTCAAGTAAAGAAAATAGAAAGTTGAAGAAAAACATAACAACAACGACACCGAATGAATGGATGTTGTGTATGTGTGTGTTTTATTGATGTGTGTGTGTAAATGTGCGGGCGTGTACTCTCCAAAAACTTCTTCACCCACTACGGACCTCCATTGCACCGACCATCATCTGACACGCATCGATGGAGTGAATTTGACCGGATACTGAAAAACACTAAATCATCATGAGACCACCATCTGAAACATGCTGACGCCCACCACAGCCCACCTCTCATCATTCTGTAAAGATATTTTTATTAGCTTAGTAGTAAGTAAATCAAGGAACGAACGAATAAATGATGAATTGAATGATTTAACGAATGAATAGAATGAATCAATTAGTGGAGGAATAATTTGAAAGATAGTGATAAAATGAATGAGAAAAAATAAAAAAAAAACTAAGCCATACTTCAAAAATCGTCGTTGTTTTCTTCAAATTGTCATCGGAACGATCATCATGAGACCATCATGTGAAACGAGCTGACGCCCACCACAGCCCACCTCTCATCATTCTGTAAAATATTATTTTTATTAGCTTAGTAGTAATTCAAGGAACAAAGGAACGAACAAATAAATGATGAACTGAATGATTAAATAATTAGTTAAAAGAATGAATGAATAGAACGAATTAACGTCAATTAATGGAAGAATAATTTGAAAGATTGAGGGAAAAAATGAATGAATGAGAAAAATAAAAAAAACGAAGCTAAACCTTACTTCACAAATCGTCGTTACTTCAATCCATTGCACCGACCGGACCGACCACCACATTCAGAACGGCACACAAGATTTCATCCGAACTTCTGAGCGTTAGTCGAACAGCCAACGCGCTGATTCTTCCTACACCACACCATCATACGTAAATCATCATGAGACCACCATCTGAAACGTGCTGACTCCCACCACTGCCCACCTCTCATCATTCTGTAGACAATTTTTTTATTAGCGTAGTAGTAAATGAATGTTTGAATCTTAGAAGCAAAAAATTATAAAATGGAAATAATGGCAAATAAATAATAACTGAAAATAATAAAGAGATTAAAATGTAAAAAAAAAACTTACCGTCGTCCATTCGACAAAGGCAGAATGTTGAATGCTTTCCGGTTCCTACGTTGTCCTCCAAAACTGGTGCCAGTCCTCCTCGAGATTGTTGTTGAAACACAACCCGTGGAATGGAGAAATAGAAAATTCTCATCAGGAAGCTTAGCGGTGCCTGCATCTCAAATTGCTTAATAAAAATAATCCTATCTACCTATTCAATTACCTTAACTAATCTATATTAAATTGTTAATGGTACGATAGTCGAAAGTCCCTCTTCATTCTCCCTCCTTTGTACGGAGGTTCACCGACAGCCAGGGCACCGGATAGTAAACCATTGCCGTGCGGATAGTAGATTATTGCTGTGCGGATAGTAAACCATTTGCCGTCCGGAAGCCGTGCGGGTAGTAGACTATGGCCATGCCGCATAGTAAACCATTACCGTGCAGATAGTAAACCATTGCCGTCCGGATAGTAAACCATTGCCGGTTCACCACTGGCCACCAAGGCTTACCTCTGACAACGGACTTTGAAATTCAGAGTCTTTCGGCTATCGTACCCTCAGCTTACCTATTCATTACAATTAAGCCCTAGCTTACCTAAAATTACAAAACTCAAGAGCCCAATTCATTGGCCTTTCGGCACCCACCCCACCACCTACGTACCTTTCGGCACCCACCCCACCACCTACGTAATGCCTTGGGCTCCAACTTAGTAATAATAATATAAAACTTAAACCCTAAATCTATTAATGAGTATGTGTTACAACGTAGCCTTAACTTACCTATCCATTACATTATGGCCTTAACTTACCTAAAATTAAAAAAACTCAAGAGCCCAATTCATTGGCCTTTCGGCACCCACCCCACCACCTACGTAATGCCTTGGGTTCCGACATAATAATAATAATATAAAACTTATAATTAACTTACCTATCGATACACATACAGCGTTTTAATTTACATTACAAGATTGTTCCTAGAATTACATTATTGCCCTTAACTACCTATGAAATTAAATTACTCTTAACCTTAGTAATAATAAATTAGAATGTGTATTGAAAATAAAATTACGCTCAAATACTAATATATGTGTTTATGTATGTGTTTGTGTGTGTGTGTGTGTGTGTGTGTGTAATACGCTAATGCGTGTAATGTAGATGCAAGAAAAAATAGAAGCGATAAACTTACGCGCCTACCTATTCAACTACATTACTGTTGGATGCTTCCTATCTATCCTACCTACAATTAAAATTATGCCTATCTAACCTACTTATATAGCTACTTAATGTAATTGTGTGTGTGTGTGTGTGTGCGTGTAAGCATTCTTACTTATTTTTAAATTACAGAGAAAAAAGAAAACGTATCCCAGCCAGGCGTGTATTCTTTGCCTCTGAATGAATGAACGTAGCCTGACAGCTTCCATGATGAACTCCTCTGGAAGCTTCAGCCTGAATGAAATGAATGAAATGAAAAAATCTTATTTATTTAATTAATTTAAATGAAAATAGAGAAACGAGCCGCGGTGAAACCCGCCAGCCGGAAAAGCCAGCCAATTGGCAAAAGAGAAACTGCAAAGAAACCGTAAAACGAACCCCAGCCAGGCGTGCATTCTTTGACACTAAATGAACGAACGTAGCGTGACATCACACCCATTCTGATCTTCCACGATGAACTCCTCCGGAAGCTTCAACCTGAATGAATGAACCTGAAAGAACCTAAATGAATGGACAAATCTTCTTTATTTAATTATTTTAAATGAAAATAGAGAAACGCAAAGAAGCCGACCGGTCGGCAAAGAAAAAAACCTCAAAGAAAGGTATCTATGTAGGATTTATGCTCTATGCAACTCTATGCAAGTCTATGCAAGTCTATGCAAGTCTATGCAAGTCTATGCAAGTCTATGCAAGTCTATGCAAGTCTATGCAAGTCTATGCAAGTCTATGCAAGTCTATGCAAGTCTATGCAAGTCTATGCAAGTCTATGCAAGTCTATGCAAGTCTATGCAAGTCTATGCAAGTCTATGCAAGTCTATGCAAGTCTATGCAAGTCTATGCAAGTCTATGCAAGTCTATGCAAGTCTATGCAAGTCTATGCAAGTCTATGCAAGTCTATGCAAGTCTATGCAAGTCTATGCAAGTCTATGCAAGTCTATGCAAGTCTATGCAAGTCTATGCAACTCTATGCAAGTCTATGCAAGTCTATGCAACTCTATGCAACTCTATGCAACTCTATGCAACTCTATGCAACTCTATGCAACTCTATGCAACTCTATGCAACTCTATGCAACTCTATACAACTCTATGCAACTCTATACAACTCTATACAACTCTATACAACTCTATACAACTCTATACAACTCTATACAACTCTATACAACTCTATACAACTCTATACAACTCTATACAACTCTATACAACTCTATACAACTCTATACAACTCTATACAACTCTATACAACTCTATACAACTATATACAACTCTATACAACTCTATACAACTCTATACAACTCTATACAACTCTATACAACTCTATACAACTCTATACAACTCTATACAACTCTATACAACTCTATACAACTCTATACAACTCTATACAACTCTATACAACTCTATACAACTCTATATAATAATAATAATATATAACTATATAATAAAATAAATAAAAATAAAATAAATGAGATCAGGCAGACTGCTTCATGCGGGGCAGAATGCCTGATCTGATTTTCACGTTTTCTCAGCTCCTATTTATACTCGTTTCAACTATACACTTTCAACATTTTAATCATTCACATCAGTAAAAAATTTATATAATGTATGTACTACAGTATTATACAGTCTTAACCACAATGCCGACAGTACTAAATTGACGTCATCGAACGAACGCCTTCGAAATTTTCTGATTGGCTGGTTGAATCTGCTATATTGCTTTTTATATAAAACATATAATCTTATTAATTATTTGTATACGTGGATTCTAGTTACTTTATATATATATATATATATATATATATATATATAAATTCATTATAATTGCAACAGTAATCAATGCTACATATGTACGTCGCAGTTCAAAATTTTCGGGGAGAATTCAAAATAGTTTGAGATCACTCCTTGCTTAACATCCGATTCCAAGCCAAGCCGAGCTAAGCTGAGCCATTATGCATAGATTTATAAGCGCTTTTATAATAAAATTATGCTCGCTTTATATATATAGTATATAAATTCCTTATAAACGCAACAGTCGTAATCAGTGCTACATATGTACGCAAATTTTTTTGGGAGATTTCCAAATAGTTTAAGACTACACCTTGCTTAACATCCAATTCCATGCCGAGTCGAGCCAAGCTGAGCCAATATGCATAGAGTTATAAGCGCTTTTATATTAAAATTTTGCTCGCTTTATATAGACTATATAGTATATAAATTCATTATAAACGCAACAGTAATCAGTGCTACATATGTGCGCACGCAGTTCAAATTTTTCTGCAAGAATTCTAAATAGTTTGAGACCACACCTTGCTTAACATCCAATTCCTAGCCAGCCGAGCCAAGTCGAGCCAAGCTGAGCTAATATGCATAGATTTATAAGCGCTTTTATATTAAAATTTTGCTCGCTTTGTATATATATAGTATATAAATTCATTATAAACGCAACAGTAATCAGTGCTACGTATGTGCGCACGCAGTTCAAATTTATAATTTATTATAAATTTTATTTGATGTTTTTTAATTATTCAGGTCACAATCATGAGATGGAGATGGAGATGGAGGGTGAGGTTCGAGTCAAAAGTTACGATAGTATATTTACTAATTACGGAATATTGCTTTTATTTAAAATGTTAAAATTTTATTTTTTTAAATTGTTATTCAATATAGTAATTAATTACTTTTATTTGGTATAAATTTAAACAAATAAAATCGACATTACCGAAAATAATTAAAAGTTGCAAAAATTGAGATTCTTTGCACATCCCTGCTTCAACCCACAAGAAAGTGCTGTTTAATGGTAAATAGGCCTCCCCTTGATCTGCATCATATAAAGTGCATTATTCAATATCGACACAAACGTGCCTTTTAATGGCATTCCATACCATTCAATCAACAACAGCTCATTAACATATTTGTAACATTGGATCATTTCTTTTGTGTGTGTGTGTGTGTGTGTGTGTGTGTGTGTGTGTGTGCCTACAACCAACCATACACTCAACACAAACTTGTTTTGTTGGTGTTAAATAGTTGTTTAAATTGTGAAAGGGTAATTTGTTTGAAAATTTGAAATTAACGTGTCATAAACTGATCGATTGAAAGTTCAAAATAGTTAAATGGTTATTTGATTCATTGTTTTTTCAATTCATTCATTCGTTTCTACGTTTGTTCTTTTATTGTTTATTAAAACTTAATTTGGCATAAAAAAAGATTTTAAAATCTAAGTAAAAATTATTCCACAAGTCATTGTTTAATTTTTGAGTTATGGCCTATATTTTATTTTTTTCATATCAAACTTTGAAGCAGGTTTCTTTTATAGCACATTAGCATATGTTAAATAAATAATATGTGTTGGGTTGTCGTTGGGCAAATCATTTTTTGTTTTGTTAAGCGCGTTCAAAAATTAAAGCCAAGTGCAAGTTTTAAAATGGTTATCATTGCACTCTGTAAACGTCATGAAATTTTTTAAGAATATTGAGTTTTTTTATTATTATTTTAATAATCAATCAATCAACCAACCAATCAATCAAACGGGAATTAACTCATTAGCGCCCAATGATCCCATTTGGGAACGTGTATATTTAGCGCTACATAAATTTTATATTTGCACAAGCTTTACATGTTTTGGCCAATCTATATTTATTAATAGTATATCTATGCAATACAGTCACGTGGTCTTTTGTATTGTCATCGCATGCTTTGGTAGCCATTTTAAAAATTTTGTATTTTTCAAAAAAGTTTTTAGTCTGTTTTCTGATTTTATTTCCAAGTAAGTATTATGTTTTATTTAAATTAAACTATTTTTTACTTATTCACAATTACTTCTTAATATTTTAAAATTATGAAATTAGAGGTTTATCTTAAACTTATTTTTTAAATGAGATATATGTGTTGACGTTCCCAATTGGGAACATTGGGCACATAAGGTACTATGATCCCAAATGGGAACGTAGTACCTCATGTGCTCAATTTAGTTTCTCATGATATTATAGTGATATATTTAATAATTTTTATTTTAAATTGTTTACAATTTAAGTATGTCTGAGAAGAGATTTC